CTGTAGCTTCTGACCCATCCCCTTGTGTTCTGTAGCTTCTGACCCGTCCCCTGGTGTTCTGTAGCTTCTGACCCGTCCCCTTGTGTTCTGTAGCTTCTGACCCGTCCCCTTGTGTTCTGTAGCTTCTGACCCGTCCCCTTGTGTTCTGTAGCTTCTGACCCGTCCCCTTGTGTTCTGTAGCTTCTGACCCGTCCCCTTGTGTTCTGAAGCTTCTGACCCGTCCCCTTGTGTTCTGTAGCTTCTGACCCGTCCCCTTGTGTTCTGAAGCTTCTGACCCGTCCCCTTGTGTTCTGTAGCTTCTGACCCGTCCCCTTGTGTTCTGAAGCTTCTGACCCGTCCCCTTGTGTTCTGAAGCTTCTGACCCGTCCCCTTGTGTTCTGAAGCTTCTGACCCGTCCCCTTGTGTTCTGAAGCTTCTGACCCGTCCCCTTATGTTCTGTAGCTTCTGACCCGTCCCCTTGTGTTCTGTAGCTTCTGACCCGTCCCCTGGTGTTCTGAAGCTTCTGACCCGTCCCCTTGTGTTCTGTAGCTTCTGACCCGTCCCCTTGTGTTCTGTAGCTTCTGACCCGTCCCCTTGTGTTCTGTAGCTTCTTACCCGTCCCCTTGTGTTCTGTAGCTTCTGACCCGTCCCCTTGTGTTCTGTAGCTTCTGACCCGTCCCCTTGTGTTCTGTAGCTTCTGACCCGTCCCCTTGTGTTCTGTAGCTTCTGACCCGTCCCCTTGTGTTCTGTAGCTTCTGACCCGTCCCCTTGTGTTCTGTAGCTTCTGACCCGTCCCCTTGTGTTCTGTAGCTTCTGACCCGTCCCCTTGTGTTCTGAAGCTTCTGACCCGTCCCCTTGTGTTCTGAAGCTTCTGACCCGTCCCCTTGTGTTCTGTAGCTTATGACCCGTCCCCTTGTGTTCTGTAGCTTCTGACCCGTCCCCTTGTGTTCTGTAGCTTCTGACCCGTCCCCTTGTGTTCTGTAGCTTCTGACCCGTCCCCTGGTGTTCTGTAGCTTCTGACCCGTCCCCTGGTGTTCTGTAGCTTCTGACCCGTCCCCTGGTGTTCTGTAGCTTCTGACCCGTCCCCTTGTGTTCTGTAGCTTCTGACCCGGTCCCCTTGTGTTCTGTAGCTTCTGACCCGTCCCCTTGTGTTCTGTAGCTTCTGACCCGTCCCCTTGTGTTCTGTAGCTTCTGACCCGTCCCCTTGTGTTCTGTAGCTTCTGACCCGTCCCCTGGTGTTCTGTAGCTTCTGACCCGTCCCCTTGTGTTCTGTAGCTTCTGACCCGTCCCCTTGTGTTCTGTAGCTTCTGACCCGTCCCCTGGTGTTCTGTAGCTTCTGACCCGTCCCCTTGTGTTCTGTAGCTTCTGACCCGTCCCCTTGTGTTCTGTAGCTTCTGACCCGTCCCCTTGTGTTCTGTAGCTTCTGACCCGTCCCCTTGTGTTCTGTAGCTTCTGACCCGTCCCCTTGTGTTCTGTAGCTTCTGACCCGTCCCCTTGTGTTCTGTAGCTTCTGACCCGTCCCCTTGTGTTCTGTAAGCTTCTGACCCGTCCCCTTGTGTTCTGAAGCTTCTGACCCGTCCCCTTGTGTTCTGTAGCTTCTGACCCGTCCCCTGGTGTTCTGAAGCTTCTGACCCGTCCCCTGTGTTCTGAAGCTTCTGACCCGTCCCCTTGTGTTCTGAAGCTTCTGACCCGTCCCCTTGTGTTCTGTAGCTTCTGACCCGTCCCCTTGTGTTCTGTAGCTTCTGACCCGTCCCCTGGTGTTCTGTAGCTTCTGACCCGTCCCCTTGTGTTCTGTAGCTTCTGACCCGTCCCCTTGTGTTCTGAAGCTTCTGACCCGTCCCCTTGTGTTCTGTAGCTTCTGACCCGTCCCCTTGTGTTCTGTAGCTTCTGACCCGTCCCCTTGTGTTCTGTAGCTTCTGACCCGTCCCCTTGTGTTCTGTAGCTTCTGACCCGTCCCCTTGTGTTCTGTAGCTTCTGACCCGTCCCCTTGTGTTCTGTAGCTTCTGACCCGTCCCCTTGTGTTCTGTAGCTTCTGACCCGTCCCCTTGTGTTCTGTAGCTTCTGACCCGTCCCCTGGTGTTCTGAAGCTTCTGACCCGTCCCCTTGTGTTCTGTAGCTTCTGACCCGTCCCCTTGTGTTCTGTAGCTTCTGACCCGTCCCCTTGTGTTCTGTAGCTTCTGACCCGTCCCCTTGTGTTCTGAAGCTTCTGACCCGTCCCCTTGTGTTCTGTAGCTTCTGACCCGTCCCCTGGTGTTCTGTAGCTTCTGACCCGTCCCCTGGTGTTCTGTAGCTTCTGACCCGTCCCCTTGTGTTCTGTAGCTTCTGACCCGTCCCCTGGTGTTCTGTAGCTTCTGACCCGTCCCCTTGTGTTCTGTAGCTTCTGACCCGTCCCCTGGTGTTCTGTAGCTTCTGACCCGTCCCCTTGTGTTCTGTAGCTTCTGACCCGTCCCCTTGTGTTCTGTAGCTTCTGACCCGTCCCCTGGTGTTCTGTAGCTTCTGACCCGTCCCCTGGTGTTCTGTAGCTTCTGACCCGTCCCCTTGTGTTCTGAAGCTTCTGACCCGTCCCCTTGTGTTCTGTAGCTTCTGACCCGTCCCCTGGTGTTCTGTAGCTTCTGACCCGTCCCCTGGTGTTCTGTAGCTTCTGACCCGTCCCCTTGTGTTCTGTAGCTTCTGACCCGTCCCCTGGTGTTCTGTAGCTTCTGACCCGTCCCCTTGTGTTCTGTAGCTTCTGACCCGTCCCCTGGTGTTCTGTAGCTTCTGACCCGTCCCCTTGTGTTCTGTAGCTTCTGACCCGTCCCCTTGTGTTCTGTAGCTTCTGACCCGTCCCCTTGTGTTCTGTAGCTTCTGACCCGTCCCCTTGTGTTCTGTAGCTTCTGACCCGTCCCCTGGTGTTCTGTAGCTTCTGACCCGTCCCCTTGTGTTCTGTAGCTTCTGACCCGTCCCCTTGTGTTCTGTAGCTTCTGACCCGTCCCCTGGTGTTCTGTAGCTTCTGCATGTGAACGCTCTGCAGTCTCAAACCCTCAAAGTACACCCTGTAGCGAGCAACACTCGGACACAGAGAAGACCTGTCTCGGCTGCCCCAGAACGCCTCGATGGACATTTCTCTTTCTCCATTGTTTACTTCTTGGGTATAGTGATGTAACGTAACCTAACGGCCGTTACGTTACATTTGGACCAATCCGTGGACTTCCTCACACACACACACACTCGGCGGGACGTTGCACGGCTCGCTGCTGCGAGGACGGGACAGTGTGAGGTGGCTCATTGGTGTGGGGTCGGCGAGACAGCGAGACACCGCGGAACTCAGCCTGAGCACACACACAAACTCCCAGCCAGGCTGCGGGTGTGTGTGTGTGTTTCGGGCTGGGTTTCGCTGTGTCTCGCTGTCTCGCAGACGGCCACTGGGCTCACAGGGAGGGGGGGGGCAGGAGCTCCAACAAGCCGTTTAGGACAGAGTGAATACACAGACTATACAGAGATGCTGTGAGAAACCAATGTGAGTTTGGAACATTGAACAATATAAATCTGTTCTAATAAATCAAATCAAATCAAGTTTTATTTATAAAGCACATTTATAAACGATGTTTGGTCGAGCCAAAGTGCTGTACATATAATAAAAATAGCCTACAGTAGAAGTAGACCTCAACAATGGAATTATGATCAGTAGAAATGGCCATGACATGGGACCTTTAACATGAATGGGTTCCATCTGCTGTATTTTGTCAACAGATCTGTGTTCGCCTCCTGCTTTAATGTCAATAAAACACATTTTAGCAGCTAAAACGATAAGATGATTATAATTTGATTAGAAAAACATAAGTTGTGGACGGATTGATGCCAATTTGGGAAATGCTGTGCCTTCTAAGTAAAGCCAGGAAGAGCCACTGGACATTGAACATTTATTTCATTACCTCTCATTGCCCTCCTGCTGATACATGCTGCCAGCTGCACTTCAACTGTGCTAACTTTATATTTGTGGTTACCTGTAGACACGTATCTAGTGTTTTCTTGTTTCAAATAAGTGCATGGCAAACGAGACGATGCAGACGGTTAAATGAAGGGTTCTGTATTTGATCAGATGCAAGAAAAACACCAAGAATCAGGCCACGTTGAAAAGCCACGTTGGTCGAACTTTAGCGTTCCGTGGAGATGATGCAGATAAATGAATTCTTCATGCTGGCAGGAAGTCAGAAACTCTGTGATGTGTTTATAAACCTCAGAGGGACATTTTAAATAAATACAGCTCTTTGATCTCAACTCATCTCCAACAATGCCACTGCTTTCTTTGTTTGTTGCACGAAACAGTTTCCAAACTCCCTTTCTTGTGAACATTACATTACATCTAGCTGAGGCTTTTATCCAGAGCGACTTACAATAAGTGCGTTCGACCAACAAAATACAAACTTGAAGAAAACAGAATCATAAAGTACATCAGGTTTCATAGAGCTAAAACATTTCAAGTGCTACTCAACTGGCTTTAGATAAGCCAGTCCTTTATTAGTATATAAGTGCTTCGTTAATAGTTCTAACGCTCGAAGTGGAGTCGAAAGAGATGAGTTTTCAGTCTGGAAGATGTGCAAGCTATCTGCTGTCCTGATGTCAATGGGGAGCTCATTCCACCATCTTGGAGCCAGGACAGCAAACCCACGTGTTTTTGCTGATGGGAACTTGGGTCCCCCTCGCAGTGAGGGTGCAGCGAGCCGTTTGGCTGATGCAGAGCGTAGTGCACGTGCTGGGGTGTACGGTTTAACCATGTCCTGGATGTACGAAGGGCCAGATCCATTCGCAGCATGGTAAGCAAGTACCAGTGTCTTGAAGTGGATTCTAGCAGTTACCGGAAGCCAGTGGAGGGAGCGGACATGACCTCTGTCACCCTGAAATGTGTGTGTGTGTGTGTGTGTGATATGAAGTCTGTGTGACACGAGACGTGAGATAAGAGACAGCAAAGCCAGGAAACGATGCTTCACAGTTTCCTCCCTCTCTAGCTATCAGTGAAGAAACTGGAACACCACATGTGGAAATCTCATTTTCACACAAACATCTTTATTTCACATTAAAACTGGCTTTCAAGATCGATCTGGTTTGTTTCTAAAGTATCACCCAGCACTCAGTTAGCAGTTGCAATATAAACCTCTGTCGTGCATCAGGCTCGGTCGCAGTGTGTGTGTGTGTGTGTGTGTGTGTGTGTGTGTGTGTGTGTGTGTGTGTGTGTGTGTGTGCAGATATGCGCTGCTCCTGTGGCTTGGAACCGGCTGCAAATTGAGCTGCTTGAAGTTGTGAATAAATGTGTGTATTTGTATCTGCACGTGTGCACTAAAAACATAACTGTGTGTATTTGTATCTACACGTGTGCACTAAAAACATAACTGTGTGTATTTGTATGTACCCATATTAGAAGCATGTGCAAAGAACATCATTCCTTCTCTTCGAACACAAATCCAGAAAATGAAGTGAGATGAAAACAGAGAGGAAACATTAGGAATGAAATGGAAAGCCAGATTATAGTCAGACTACTAAAGACTCCTCTGTCCGTCCGATCGGGTCGCAGTGTGTGTCCATCCCCGGCTGTGTGTGTGTGTGTGTGTGTGTGTGTGTGTGTGAGTGTGTGTGCAGATATAAGCGTCAGTGTGTCAGTCTGTCCTCACACACTCCTCCCCCCTCAGAGATTCTGTGGATCTGTCCGATCTCCTCCAGAGCCGCTGCCAGCGAGGAGAGGTGGACGGAGTCCTGGTGTCGAGCCTCCCACAGACTGAGGATCACCGCCGAGGGACTCGAGTGCTGAGAGAAGAAGTCCAGGTTCCTGACGGGGGGCGAGACAGGAAGTTAGAACAGGAAGTAACCAGGGAACACTGAGGATCATCAAAGCCTCCAGGAAGTGCGCCGGAAGTGGAATAAAGTGTTCGTAGTGGATGTCACTACCCGATCTGCACTGCGCAAGTGCGAGATGGTCCGCCATATTGGACAACTCCGTACGGCAACCCAACTAGGACACTTGACACAGTGGCTTTTGGCAAAGCTCACAAAGAAAACTCATAAAAGCGAAAGAGATGAGTTATTGTTATTACAACGTAACTTCTGTTAGACAGCTATCATACTGAATACTTATTTACTGTGAATGTATGCAAACATGTATGGCATAGGCATATAGCTCTCTAACAGCAGTTAAATCCATTTCTCACTTATTCTGACAATGTACTTAACCCCAAATAAAAGAACCCAATAAAAAGAGTTGTTAAATAATAGTGAAGTCACGTTGTAATAACAATAACTCATCTCTCTCGGTTTTTTGAGTGTTCTTTTTCTGCTTTGCCAAAAGCCACTGTGTCAATGTTGTCCTACTAGAGTTGCCGTATGTATAGTAGTTGTCCAATATGGCGGACCATCTCGCACATGCGCACTGCAGATCGGGCAGGGGGCAGATCGGGTAGTGACAGTGGCCAAACCACGGCCCGTAAAACTCTGAAAAGTTTGGGAAGCCGCCATTGTATTTGCTGGCATTAGCATTATTAGCATTAGCATTAGCCCCACGCAGAAACGCAGAGAGAATAACTTATGGCAACACAAAAGAAAATGGCGCGGTTTTGGCGCAGAGCGTTGGTCATCAGATCAAGCGTCAGTGAACTCCAGTTCGTGAACTTCAGTTCGAATCCCGCCTCTGCCGCCACTGCGTCAGGCCGTTGTGTCCTTGGGCAAGACACTTTACCCGCATTTGCTCCTGTGGGTAATGTCCGCAGTAATGACTCTTACATGTCTAATATGTGTACTTGTAAAGCGCTTTGAGCACCTGTAAAAGCGCTCTAATAAAAAATGTAATGCATTATTACATGGGAGCGGTGGAGATGAGGAGGTGTCGGCGTTCTGGCGATTTACTCTGAAGGCTTCAGTAGAAGCTGCTGGGACTCCCAGCAGCTTCTACTGAAGCCTTCCCCAACTCCGGGGACTTCCGGCCGGGGACTTTGGGCGGCAGTATACGCCGTGAAGTGGTTTGCGGCCTGCCAGTAAACCCAAAGCAGAAGAAGAAGAAGTGACGTCAGCGGCTCATTTGCCTAATCCACCCCCAGGGACTTATTCCGGTGTGAACGCGATTAGCTCTTAGTTCCATGGGGGAACTAAGAGCTGGGAACTAAGTGCTGGGAACTAAGTGCTGGGAACTAAGTGCCGGCACTAAGTGCTTGGTGTGAACGCGGCTAATGACTTACATTGGGAAAGAGACGTCTTTAAATGAGTGGATATTCAGCATCGGTTTTATTTCAAAGTAGGTTTCTACAGATGAGGAATTTTAATTAGAAATTAGAAACACATTCAAAATAAAGACAATATTAACACAAAATATAATTATGTGAGACACTGAGTACAGTCAAATAGAATATGACAAATACTTAACGTATATCACGCTTACAATATCTTGTCTTTTTAAAACTGTAAATCCTGCACATTTATGCTCCACACTTCCTCATTTTAAATCTGCACAGCTCTCCACTTTAAATGTACTGTAAGTCATATGTTATAATATCTTACAATTAATTTTAATACACAGAAATCAATACCATTAGTTCTCAAACCTGCAAAGATTAAAAGGCTTTATTGTCATTTGCACAACAGCTAAGGTGTTGTTGTAAAAACAATCTTAAGTCCCAGGTTCAACACATGAAGTCATACACAACTAAGACATAATGGTGCAAGTATAAACCCTTCACTTGCATATTATAATAACGCTTATTACAATTTCTGTCCGTAACTGAGAATGAATGAGACTCTAATTGTCTCCGTGCCGTAAACAGAACATCTGCTGCTTCCACCTGAGAGCAAAACAAGAGGCGCCACCGTTTTGAGAATATCAGAAATATGGAGAATAAATTACCGTCACTCGTGACGAGCAATTACTGCGGTGTGGAAAGCAGTGTGTGTGATATCTGTGTGTGATATCTGTGTGTGATATCTGTGTGTGATATCTGTGTTTCTGAAGCATGCAGCAGAGCAGAGCGTCCAGCAGGGGGCAGTGTCTCTCTGCGAGGAACAGGAAGCCACATGGAGGGACTAACGCTGCATTGAGAATATAACTTTATCAAATATGTAAGTATATTTAAATTAGATGATTGTCATCACTGTACATGAACACAGTATACATACAATATATAAACAACAACAACAGATAGCGACACACAACTCAGCGATTATAAACTAAATAAAATCTGATTCTAATAATGATAACAAGTTCCCAGAGGACACACACACCGTGCACGCTCCCAGAGGACAAACACACACCGTGCACGCTCCCAGAGGACACACACACCATGCACGCTCACAGGGAACACACACACATCGTGCACACTCCCAGAGGACACACACATAGAGCATGCTCCCAGAGGACACACACACACACACGCCGTGCACGCTCCCAGAGGACACACACACACTGTGCACGCTCCCAGAGGACACACACATCATGCACGCTCACAGGGAATACACACACATCGTGCACACTCCCAGAGGACACACACACCGTGCACACTCCCAGAGGACACACACATCATGCACGCTCACAGGGAACACACACACATCGTGCACACTCCCAGAGGACACACACATAGAGCATGCTCCCAGAGGACACACACACACACACGCCGTGCACGCTCCCAGAGGACACACACACACTGTGCACGCTCCCAGAGGACACACACATCATGCACGCTCACAGGGAACACACACACATCGTGCACACTCCCAGAGGACACACACACCGTGCACACTCCCATAGGACACACACATCGTGCACACTCCCAGAGGACACACACATAGTGCATGCTCCCAGAGGACACACACGCCGTGCACGCTCCCAGAGGACACACACACTGTGCACGCTCCCAGAGGACACACACACTGTGATGTCAGGAGGGCCGTAACTTTGTCCAGTAAATTGACAGGAATCTCATTGGCTAATATAGAATGCTTAGACAAGGACAGAGTTTTAAAACTGGCACACAGTATAGTGAGTGACCTGAGGCACCCTCTTGCCTCTTACTTTGAGCTGCTGCCATCCGGGCGGAGATACCGTGCCCCTTATTTAAAAAAGAACAGATCTCGGCTGTCTTTCGTCCCACAAGCCATCAAACCCCTGAATCAGTGATGGCTAGGACGCCCTGTTCACCCAGCTGGTCTGGCCCTGTCCCCCCTATTTCGCAAATGAGGGCCTATAGGCGCCTCGTCATGTCTGCCGATATCTGGTTTTCTTATGTCTGTTTGTTTTGATCTGTGTCTATGTTGTTGTCAGTGATGTATTGTCTTAACTTTTTAAATGCCTCTGTGATGTGCTGCAACCCATTTTCCCCTCGGGGGCTAATAAACGAATACTAATGTGATGTCTATGTCTGTGAGCGTGCACGCTCCCACACACACAGGGTGTTACTGACCTCTGGAGCTGCAGCTTCTCAGCGAGCAGCCTCCAGTCCTCGGCCGTGTCGAAGGTGCTGCAGATCCTCTGTTGGATGGAGGGGGGGATGCTGAAGGCCCCGGGGCCCGAGAGAGAGTCCGTCTGCAGGGGGGGGGGGGGGGGGTTCCTTCATCGTCTGCAGGGACACAGCAGGGGGTCAGACACCAGTTACTGACGCTGATCTGTGTTTAGTTATTTCACAGGTAGGTATGTAGGTAGGTAGGTATGAAGGTAGGTAGGAGGGTAGGTAGGTAGGTATGAAGGTAGGTAGGAGGGTAGGTAGGTATGAAGGTAGGTAGGAGGGTAGGTAGGTATGAAGGTAGGTAGGAGGGTAGGTAGGTAGGTATGAAGGTAGGTAGGAAGGTAGGTAGGTAGGTAGGTAGGTAGGAAGGAAGGTATGAAGGTCGGTCGGTAGGTAGGTAGGTAGGTAGGTAGGAAGGAAGGAAGGAAGGAAGGAAGGAAGGAAGGAAGGAAGGAAGGAAGGAAGGAAGGAAGGAAGGAAAGAAGGAAGGAAGGTAGGAAGGTAAGAAGGTAGGTAGGAAGGTAGGTATGAAGGTAGGAAGGTAGGTATGAAGGTAGGTAGGAAGGAAAGAAGGAAGGAAAGAAGGAAGGAAGGTAGGAAGGTAGGAAGGTAGGAAGGTAGGAAGGTAAATCCCGGCACACTGACAGGTTAATTGAGTTTGGTCTCAAATGTCAAATTGGATGAAAGTAAAGTCAGAGTTAGTTTTCCATCGTTCGTGTCCTCTTCTTTTAACGGCACCAAACTGGAGAGTTACTGCCTTTTCTCAGTGAAACACCTCCTAAAGTTTAAATAACAGAAACCCTCATACACTTCTCTCGTGCCAAGTCTACTGGAAAATCGGTTAAAATGTATGCTGTGAAAGAAACGTATCGACTCGAGTTGGTGTAAAAGCAAACTGCTGTGCTGGTGCTTTATCTGAATATTGATCCAATATACTGAGACCCACAATGTAACACACACACACACACACACACACACACACACACACACACACACACACACACACACACACACACACACACACACACACACACACACACACACACACACACACACACACACACACACACACACACACACACACACACACACACACACACACACACACACACACACACACACACACACACACACACACACACACACCACACACACACACACACACACACATTATACTGCTGTCTGTTTACTGTATTTGTGTGTGTGTGTGTGTGTATTTGTGTGTGTGTTTGTGTGTGTGTGTGTGTGTGTGTATGTGTGTGTGGAGATTTTAAGGGTGATCTGAATTCCACTCACAGCTCCTTTAAACGTTTTATTTCCTCCCGTCGAACCCGAACTAATCACGAAGCCAGGATTAAAACAAACCATCTGCGTCTCACAGCGACACCAGGAGGTCAAACAAAAGGGTTTGAGCGTGAGGTCGACGAACACGTTGGGAAGAAGCGTCTCAGGTGAAATCAAGGTGAGATTCAAATAAAGGTCAAAGGGCTTTATTGAAACCTCTCACCTGGGTCACGGCGGTGTAGACCTGCAGGATCTGCTCGTGACCTTTGACCTGTCGCACGCTGATCTTGCAGGAGAGCTGCGAGGTGTTGGGGGAGAATCTCTGCAGACTGAAGGCACAGTGCTGCCGGCTGCTGAACCACACCGAGCGGAACGAGAACTCCTGCAGCAACAACAACAACAACAACAACAACAATACATGATACACAGAGAGGGCAAAAGTACACACATCCTTTACTCAAGTAGAAGTACAGATACTCGTGTTTAAAGATACTCTGGTGAAAGTAGAAGTACTGACTAAACTTCTTTACTCACGTAAAAGTAAAGAACTTTGAAATGTACTTCAGTAAAAAGTACCCATAACTAGCAGCTGCTTTAAAGAGTACCTGACCTCCCTTTATATTAATAGAACAATAATGTCATTGTTAGCTAATGAATGTTTCCATGCTGAACAACGGCAACATGACAACGTTTCCATTGGTCCCTCTTCTTTAAGCCCGCGTCACACTGTCCCGAAAGTGACACCAGATGAAGGAAATGTTCAAATTCGGCTCTGATCGGAACAACATCGGGTCATTCGTGAGGGCATCTTAAGCCATCGTATGACCGCCGGTGGGGTTTCTCAGGCTCCGGCAGCAACTTCGTGAGCGGTGGAAAAATCTTTGGCATGCCAAGAAATTGCCGAAAGACCTTGCGAAGGTTCATTTCCGTGTTGAATTTGTGTATCCATTTTGCCCTTCGTAAGGCCATCGTGAGGGCATCTTGTTAAATCGTGTCATCTTCGTCTTTACTTCGTGTGATCATCGGTGCCATCGGGCATTTTTCACCTCATGAAGACAATACGAAGGAAACAAGAAGCTGCCCGATTGTTTTAGGAAGGCAACTCGCAATGCCGTCGTGTAGCTATCATATTATAGTACGATGACATCGAGATGGGACCAAGGTGTCGGCGAAGACAGCCAAATATGCGTAGCTCAAGCGTTTCCCATGTGTCATGGTAACGTGGACAAGGCCAGCCTCAGAGCATCTTCCTCAGTCAGTCCGGAGCAACTGTACAGAGCAGAGGCATGTGTAACTCCCAAAGCTTCAATCACAATTCAGTTCCTGCTGAGTGGCTTCGATGATGAGACAACCAGGGAAAAGAAGGCAGCAGCATTGCTTCTTTTGATGCACCTCAGAGAACATGATGAGCAACTCTTACAGGCATACTTGCCAACCCTCCCGATTTTCGCGGGAGCCTCCCGATTTCATTGCCCTCTCCCGGTTTCCTCCCGGGGTCATATTTCTCCCGATTTCTGACAAAATCAGATTTACTCACGACTGTTTCCACTCGGACTTTAATACAGCTACACCATTGTTTGGTTTCCATGGTAGCGCGTCTCATTAGTAGCGAGGAAGATAGTCACAGAAAACAGAACAAGAATCGACAACTCGACCCTCTGCTCACTCCTTTCCTGCCCACACACATGCTCCATCAAGGATGGTGCTACAGGCCGCAAGACAGTGCACTTACAACTACAATAAGCATGTTAATGTTAATCTAATACAGCTCCGGGGATCCCTGCTCCGGCGACCCTCCCCCCCCCCCACACGGTGGTTTTGGAAATGCTCCCGATTTCTGAGGTCTCATTTCTTGCTATTTGTGACCTGCTCTATCGAAATCAGTAGCAGTGAAGACACCTGTATTAACCTGTTGAGCCCTGAGCCTGTTTTTCAGGTCTCAGGCTCGAAAATAACATTCCCAGAACAATGGACTATAACTTCCCTTCTAAAAGGGTTACATTAATTATATATTTTTCTCAAAGCAATGATAAACCTGTGAGTTGGATGTCGAAAATTCAGAATCAACATAGATTTTTTTTTTTTTTAACTAAATTCAGATTGAACATAGTAAAAATATTTAAATGATAGTGTCCGTCCAAAAAAAAAACATTACTTATAGTGAAAACCACCCTTGGATGATGGGATAGTAGACTAAAAGCTTTAGGAATCCAAACTATAACATATAATAAGTACCCTGTATCAGGATTGATGCAAAACAAGAGACATTTTACCTTTTTAGAGAGATTTAGAAAGAAAAAAACACTTCAGGGGTCATTTGGGTGGATTTGCCGTATCTCTGGCCCCCCTCATTCGATGTTGATGATTGACATCTCTGTTTAACCGTCAGAGCCAATAGGATCGAGGGGAAGTTCCTAAAATCCATCTAAAAATTACCCATTGGTGAATGAATGCTGCGCAGCCAGAATGCCCAAAACAGGTGGCTATCATTAGCAGCTAATATGAAAACTCAGTTTTTGACATAAAAATGTAATTATGGATTATCAGTAATTATATTATGAGTAAATGACAGAGACACATTGGATTAACCTATGGATTCACCTTCAGCAGCGCTTTTATCGTTTTAATGCCATTGAACACGACTTTTGATCAGAATAACAGCAAAGGTAAGAGATGTCCCGTGAATGCTCCGTAAAGCTACGTGTTTTGATATATGTGTTTGCTTCTCCTGTCGCTTTAGCTTAGCGGTGGTGAGGTGAAGTCATGTGACCGTGCTGTAGTTCCTTTATAGCCCAACATTAGCCTCCTTTAGCTTAGCGGTGGTGACGTGAAGTCATGTGACCATGCTGTAGTTCCTTTATAGCCCAACATTAGCCTCCTTTAGCTTAGCGGTGGTGACGTGAAGTCATGTGACCGTGCTGTAGTTCCATTATAGCCCAACATTAGCCTCCTTTAGCTTAGCGGTGGTGAGGTGAAGTCATGTGACCGTGCTGTAGTTCCTTTATAGCCCAACATTAGCCTCCTTTAGCTTAGCGGTGGTGACGTGAAGTCATGTGACATTACATTACATTACATTGCATTTAGCTGACGCTTTTGTCCAAAGCGACTTACAATAAGTACATTCGACCAGGAAGACACAACCTTGAAGAAAACAGAATCATATAAGTATATCAGGTTTCATAGAGCCAAACATTTCAAGTGCTACTCAACTGGCTTTAGGTAATCCAGTCCTTTATTGGTATAAAAGTGCTTCGTTAATCGTTCTAACGCTCGAAGTGGAGTCGAAAGAGATGAGTTTTCAGTTTGCGCCGGAAGATGTGCAAGCTATCTGCCGTCCTGATGTCAATGGGGAGCTCATTCCACCATCTTGGAGCCAGGATAGCAAACCCACGTGTTTTCGCCGATGGGAACTTGGGTCCCCCTCGCAGCGAGGGCGCAACGAGTCGTTTGGCTGATGCAGAGCGTAGTGCACGTGCAGTGACCATGCTGTAGTTCCTTTATAGCCCAACATTAGCCTCCTTTAGCTTAGCGGTGGTGACGTGAAGTCATGTGACCATGCTGTAGGTCCTTTATAGCCCAACATTAGCCACCTTTAGCTTAGCGGTGGTGACGTGAAGTCATGTGACCATGCTGTAGTTCCTTTATAGCCCAACATTAGCCACCTTTAGCTTAGCGGTGGTGACGTGAAGTCATGTGGCCGCGCTGTAATTCCTTTATAGCCCAATATTAGCCTTCTTTAGCTTAGCGGTGGTGACGTGAAGTCATGTGACCGTGCTGTAGTTCCTTTATAGCCCAACATTAGCCACCTTTAGCTTAGCGGTGGTGACGTGAAGTCATGTGACCGTGCTGTAGTTCCTTTATAGCCCAACATTAGCCTCCTTTAGCTTAGCGGTGGTGACGTGAAGTCATGTGACCGTGCTGTAGTTCCTTTATAGCCCAACATTAGACACCTTTAGCTTAGCGGTGGTGATGTGAAGTCATATGACCGTGCTGTAGTTCCTTTATAGCCCAACATTAGCCACCTTTAGCTTAGCGGTGGTGACGTGAAGTCATGTGACCGTGCTGTAGTTCCTTTATAGCCCAACATTAGCCTCCTTTAGCTTAGCGGTGGTGACGTGAAGTCATGTGACCGTGCTGTAGTTCCTTTATAGCCCAACATTAGCCTCCTTTAGCTTAGCCGTGGTGAAGTGAAGTCATGTGACCATTCTGTAGTTCCTTTATAGCCCAACATTAGCCTCCTTTAGCTTAGCGGTGGTGAAGTCATGTGACCGTGCTGTAGTTCCTTTATAGCCCAACATTAGCCTCCTTTAGCTTAGCGGTGGTGACGTGAAGTCATGTGACCGTGCTGTAGTTCCTTTATAGCCCAACATTAGACACCTTTAGCTTAGCGGTGGTGATGTGAAGTCATATGACCGTGCTGTAGTTCCTTTATAGCCCAACATTAGCCACCTTTAGCTTAGCGGTGGTGACGTGAAGTCATGTGACCGTGCTGTAGTTCCTTTATAGCCCAACATTAGCCTCCTTTAGCTTAGCCGTGGTGACGTGAAGTCATGTGACCGTGCTGTAGTTCCTTTATAGCCCAACATTAGCCTCCTTTAGCTTAGCCGTGGTGAAGTGAAGTCATGTGACCATTCTGTAGTTCCTTTATAGCCCAACATTAGCCTCCTTTAGCTTAGCGGTGGTGAAGTCATGTGACCGTGCTGTAGTTCCTTTATAGCCCAACATTAGCCTCCTTTAGCTTAGCGGTTGTGACGTGAAGTCATGTGACCGTGCTGTAGTTCCTTTATAGCCCAACATTAGCCTCCTTTAGCTTAGCGGTTGTGACGTGAAGTCATGTGACCGTGCTGTAGTTCCTTTATAGCCCAACATTAGCCTCCTTTAGCTTAGCGGTTGTGACGTGAAGTCATGTGACCGTGCTGTAGTTCCTTTATAGCCCAACATTAGCCTCCTTTAGCTTAGCGGTGGTGACGTGAAGTCATGTGACCGTGCTGTAGTTCCTTTATAGCCCAACATTAGCCTCCTTTAGCTTAGCGGTTGTGACGTGAAGTCATGTGACCGTGCTGTAGTTCCTTTATAGCCCAACATTAGCCTCCTTTAGCTTAGCGGTTGTGACGTGAAGTCATGTGACCGTGCTGTAGTTCCTTTATAGCCCAACATTAGCCTCCTTTAGCTTAGCGGTGGTGACGTGAAGTCATGTGACCGTGCTGTAGTTCCTTTATAGCCCAACATTAGCCACCTTTAGCTTAGCGGTGGTGAGGTGAAGTCATGTGACCGTGCTGTAGTTCCTTTATAGCCCAACATTAGCCACCTTTAGCTTAGCGGTGGTGACGTGAAGTCATGTGACCATGCTGTAGGTCCTTTATAGCCCAACATTAGCCACCTTTAGCTTAGCGGTGGTGACGTGAAGTCATGTGACCATGCTGTAGTTCCTTTATAGCCCAACATTAGCCACCTTTAGCTTAGCGGTGGTGACGTGAAGTCATGTGGCCGCGCTGTAATTCCTTTATAGCCCAATATTAGCCTTCTTTAGCTTAGCGGTGGTGACGTGAAGTCATGTGACCGTGCTGTAGTTCCTTTATAGCCCAACATTAGCCACCTTTAGCTTAGCGGTGGTGACGTGAAGTCATGTGACCGTGCTGTAGTTCCTTTATAGCCCAACATTAGCCTCCTTTAGCTTAGCGGTGGTGACGTGAAGTCATGTGACCGTGCTGTAGTTCCTTTATAGCCCAACATTAGCCACCTTTAGCTTAGCGGTGGTGATGTGAAGTCATATGACCGTGCTGTAGTTCCTTTATAGCCCAACATTAGCCACCTTTAGCTTAGCGGTGGTGACGTGAAGTCATGTGACCGTGCTGTAGTTCCTTTATAGCCCAACATTAGCCTCCTTTAGCTTAGCGGTGGTGAAGTGAAGTCATGTGACCGTGCTGTAGTTCCTTTATAGCCCAACATTAGCCTCCTTTAGCTTAGCGGTGGTGAAGTCATGTGACCATTCTGTAGTTCCTTTATAGCCCAACATTAGCCTCCTTTAGCTTAGTGGTGGTGAAGTCATGTGACCATTCTGTAGTTCCTTTATAGCCCAACATTAGCCTCCTTTAGCTTAGCGGTGGTGAAGTCATGTGACCGTGCTGTAGTTCCTTTATAGCCCAACATTAGCCTCCTTTAGCTTAGCGGAGGTGACGTGAAGTCATGTGACCGTGCAGTAGTTCCTTTATAGCCCAACATTAGCCTCCTTTAGCTTAGCGGTTGTGACGTGAAGTCATGTGACCATGCTGTAGTTCCTTTATAGCCCAACATTAGCCTCCTTTAGCTTAGCGGTTGTGACGTGAAGTCATGTGACCGTGCTGTAGTTCCTTTATAGCCCAACATTAGCCTCCTTTAGCTTAGCGGTTGTGACGTGAAGTCATGTGACCGTGCTGTAGTTCCTTTATAGCCCAACATTAGCCTCCTTTAGCTTAGCGGTGGTGACGTGAAGTCATGTGACCGTGCTGTAGTTCCTTTATAGCCCAACATTAGCCTCCTTTAGCTTAGCGGTGGTGACGTGAAGTCATGTGACCGTGCTGTAGTTCCTTTATAGCCCAACATTAGCCACCTTTAGCTTAGCGGTGGTGACGTGAAGTCATGTGACCGTGCTGTAGTTCCTTTATAGCCCAACATTAGCCACCTTTAGCTTAGCGGTGGTGACGTGAAGTCATGTGACCGTGCTGTAGTTCCTTTATAGCCCAACATTAGCTTCTTACCTCAGAAATCATAGAGTGTTGTTAATATGTGGAGATTATCCTGCTGAACTAAACGTCTAAGAATCATAAACGTATTTTCTGCAATAATCCGAAATCAAATGGAGGAATCCCATTGGACCAGGGAGATGCTGCCTTCAGGGTCGGCCTATATGGAAATAACTATTGTTAAATAAAAGAAAGGAGATTCCAATTATAAACTCCTCCTCTGTTCAGTGAGTGTTAGAGGGAGCAGCTCTGGGGCAGAGTTCTGTGAGAGAGAGATATATGCAGAAACAGCTTTGATGTTTCATTAATGTCTGCGAGGAATCGTCCTTGACCTGTGCTGGAAAATGTCTCCGGCGTATTAAAAGTGACCTGTGATGGAGCGTGCATTTAAACCCCCCCCCCCCCGGTGTGTCTTTGATCTGCAGCCTGGTGTAGATAATGGAGTTGGGGGGGGGGGGGGGGGGAGTCCTTAGCAATAAGAGCTGACTTGATGTATGGCTCGACGCTCGGCTATTATTCTACACCTGCTCCACGAAGCTGCCTGCCATCAATAAGGCTGTGGATTCAAGCCAAGAGGGGGGCTTTGGAACTGAGCTGCATTCAGGTCTTTAAGCGTACAGTAGCTGTGTGCGTCACTCTTTAGTGTCCCCTGGTCTCCCAGCTGTGTGTGTCACTCTTTAGTGTCCCCTGGTCTCCAGCTGTGTGCGTCACTCTTTAGTGTCCCCTGGTCTCCCAGCTGTGTGCGTCACTCTTTAGTGTCCCCTGGTCTCCCAGCTGTGTGCGTCACTCTTTAGTGTCCCCTGGTCTCCCAGCTGTGTGCGTCACTCTTTAGTGTCCCCTGGTCTCCCAGCTGTGTGCGTCACTCTTTAGTGTCCCCTGGTCTCCCAGCTGTATGCATCACTCTTTAGTGTCCCCTGGTCTCCCAGCTGTGTGCGTCACTCTTTAGTGTCCCCTGGTCTCCCAGCTGTGTGCGTCACTCTTTAGTGTCCCCTGGTCTCCCAGCTGTGTGCGTCACTCTTTAGTGTCCCCTGGTCTCCCAGCTGTATGCGTCACTCTTTAGTGTCCCCTGGTCTCCCAGCTGTATGCGTCACTCTTTAGTGTCCCCTGGTCTCCAGCTGTGTGCGTCACTCTTTAGTGTCCCCTGGTCTCCAGCTGTATTTTGAGCTTCTTCAGGGTTTGGTTTCTGCAGCTTTTAGTAGACGCTGCCATGTCTCCTCAAGCTGCTGAATGTTCTCTAGACGCTGCATGTGCTGTCAAGTTGCTGAAGACGTTTCTTCATGTGGAACCTTTGGGTTTTTATATCTGCATCGTTTCTGAAGCTGCAGCGTGTTTCTCCTGATGGAAATGTTTCATTCTTCACTCTCACATCTTGTTCTTGCAGCGTTTACCTGACAGGTGGTGAAGGGTTTGATGCTCCACAGGAACTGAGGAACATCCTGGATGGACACCTGGAGGCTGAAGGTGTTCGCCAGGAAAGGCAACGTCTTGGGCTCCTCGAGGAGCTGCCCCCCCCGACTCATCTCCGCCGACACCACTCCCTGAAGGGGGAGGGAGGAGAGGAAACAAGGAGGGAGTGGAAGGGAAGGAAACAAGGAAGGAGAGGAAGGGAATAAGAGTCAGAGGATGTACACACGAATACAATATAAAAGAACAGAATGTAAATGTCCAGAGCTCCAACAGTGCAACATATTATATGCAGGTTATGTTGCTAGACTAGTCTACATGTCAGAAAATAAATAAATAGTTAGCTCAAAGATGCAGAGAATGTTGAAAGTGACCAAGTACATGGTAAATAGAATAACAGATAAAAGAACAGTTAAATATCGTATAGTGAAATACAATTAAATACTGTTTAACCAGTTATAACTATGGATTATCTATGGATTTGAGGCTTTGCAGACCATTTACATGCACTAAAATCTATAGAACAAATTGACGCACATCAAAATCCAAATCCAAAGTACAAGCCTTTCTATGTTTACACTCAATTTTATTAAATGAAAAACCAATCACCTAGCTTTAAATCTAATTGCACGACTACATTTGGTGGAATGATTCATCTTTTGGATTACAGCCTTGGTTCTGATGGCATTTTTAAGAGTATCAGAATATCTTTCTTGACAAAAGCTGCTCAATTTGGATGCCTCTGCAATAATGGCATTCTGTTTACTTCCATTTACAATCTGCCTTTGTGTGTTCTCTCCAGTTTTCCATCAGTGACGTGTGCAGAGCCACGAGGGGATCACAGTATTCAGAGCCATCTGTCTCCAAACTGAGGCAAAACACACTCAGACGTGAAGTTGGAAAACTACAATCGATGCCCAAAGACATACATGTTCTTCAGCAGCATGCAGAAGACTCCAGCGTTTCTACATTATCAACATTGAATGTATCACTAAAAGAAAATGTGAATTTATAACGGGGAAAAAAACGCTCCTACCACATTTTCTTGTAGTTGTATTTGCATGTTCCCATACCTCATGTGGCTATAGCTGTTAGCATGTGAGCTACAAGCTGTATATTTTAGATTCCATATAGCCTAGCATGTAGCTAACTATGATTTATGATGATGTGAAAAAGTGCAGCTAATGTAGAAGGTCTTAAAGCTGCATTCTCTCTAATATCCAGCAGGGGGAAACATTTTGTCAGATTATATAGAAGTCTATGAAAAAACGATCCTACTTCTCACTTGATTTATTACCTCGGTAAACATTCTCCTGACGAGTTCATGGTCTTAATCTTTAGTTTCAAGTCTTCTTCAACACAACATGATGATCATTTATTGAATTATGGTCCCATTTTGAGTGAAATAGACGATGAAGCAGAGTATGCTAAGTGCTAACGGTAGCGACCTATCTAACTGCCATTGACATCACATGTTACTTGTTAGACGCTTTTATCCAAAGCGACTTACATACTCAATACTGTGGACGATCCCCACAGGAGCACTTTGGGGTGAAGAGTCTCAGGGACACAACGACATGCTGACTGCAGTGGGGTTTGAACCTGTGACCCCCTAATCCCAACACCAACGCACTAGACCACTGCGCCACACGCCTCCCTATGACATGTCGCTACCACGCTGTTGTCTTTGTATATCTCTCACAGCTTAAACCCAAATGCTGAATTTGGAAGCTGTATTCTACAAACCAATGGATAATATAATGGTGACTATACTTTCATTACTTACATAGAGTCTATGGTTGATGGTTTTAACATATTCACAGCTACCATGATGCAAGTTTTCTGTCGCCTGTGAATTATGTTTTTAGATGCAATGTCAAACATCCAGAAAAGTTCAATAAAAAAATGTGAGGTGTTGGACTTCAGGTAATTGTCAAAACATTTGTTTGTAAATGTTTAAGGCTAAAGGCTAAATGTTTAAGGCTAAATGTTTAAGGCTAAATGTTTAAGGCTAAATGTTTAAGGCTAAAGGCTAAATGTTTAAGGCTAAATGTTTAAGACTAAAGGCTAAATGTTTAAGGCTAAAGGCTAAATGTTTAAGGCTAAATGTTTAAGGCTAAATGTTTAAGGCTAAAGACTAAAGGCTAAATGTTTAAGGCTAAATGTTTAAGGCTAAATGTTTAAGGCTAAATGCTAAATGTTTAAGGCTAAAGGCTAAATGTTTAAGGCTAAATGTTTAAGGCTAAATGTTTAAGGCTAAATGCTAAATGTTTAAGGCTAAATGTTTAAGGCTAAATGTTTAAGGCTAAATGTTTAAGGCTAAATGTTTAAGGCTAAAGGCTAAATGTTTAAGGCTAAATGTTTAAGGCTAAAGGCTAAATGTTTAAGGCTAAATGTTTAAGGCTAAAGGCTACAGGCTAAAGGTTGAGGTGAATAGTATTTCTTGTGGCGTTTAGTTGAACGTCTGCCAGCAGAATACTGATCAATCTCCTGCAGGAGTCCATCGGGTCTCCAGCGCTGAACGCTGACCTTGGACATGGACTTGCTGCTGGAGAGAAATTATTTTAACCCATTCCTAAACAACTAGATTGTGTCTGTCTTTGTTGCTACGAGCTAATATCAAAATGAGAAGAAGAAATGAGGAGATCAGGAGGAAATACATATGCAGTAAATGTGAAAAAGTTGTTGAAGAGGTAAACCTTTAATGTCAAAACTGCCATTAAATATTAACATTATTTTCCACTTCACTGACTTAAATCTTTTAACCAACATCAGTCCTTTCTACTACTACCAATCATTTCTTATTTTACACAACTCTTTAAATTCCAGTTTCTATGCCACTGTTGAAATATATTTAAACCACAACAAGTTCTGTATATTGTACGATTTGTATTCAGGCCCAAGCACCCACAAATGTGGAGCTATTGAAATCCCTAAATGAATCACCAATACTAATATTGATGGCAAATTGAACTGTGTTTTTGAGTGCCTTAACGTGAGCCTAAACATATTAGTTTGACTTATATTGATATTTTAGGGGTCTTATGCTCAGGGCGTTGGTACAGCATCCACTAAAAAGTTGCTCAAATTCAGCCCCTTGTTGGATTCTCTGACAGGTCTGAAAAATAGTAGGCATGCGTAGCTTGGGGAGACAAAAAAAGCCTCTTGGTGGCATATCGTAAAACCAACAGGAAGTCTGCCATTTTGGATTATTGTGCAATTTCTGGCCAAATTTCCTCCGATTGACCTTCTATTTACTCAGTACAATTTTAAGGCCTTGAAGCTCAAAAGTTATTGAAAGCTTTAGTCGTCATTTGTATTTGTTATGAATGAAAATAGCTGAAATGATTGACAGATGTGTCAGACATGTCAAGTCCCAAAATATCCCTAGTGATGCACAGGGAGTAAAGAGACGGCAGCCTTTCTGCAGCATCTGAGAAAAGATCACAAGTCTGCCAATCATGACCCTGTTTGTGTTGCTTCCTGCGGATTAGTGTGTGATAAAACACACAGCGAGACACGCTGCAGCCCAGGGGAGAAACTAAAGTCTGGCATCTGCCCGGCAGCCTGGAAATTCATAAAGCAAATCCAGAGTGCATGTTAAAGCCAGCTGCCAGTGATAGAGAAAGGTCTCCCGGGGGGCGGAGGCTCGATATTCCTGATGTTTACAGATCAGTTCTCAATGCTGGAGGATAATCAAGTCAGACAAGACTTAGAAGAGAGAAGGATTGGTTAACATTTATATGGCAGTGTTTTTGACCCCCCAAGAATGAGCCGAGCCTTGAAGCAACGTGATGAGGCCCAAAAATACTTTTCCCCCACTGACTTACTTTGGAAAAGAGACAAGAGTAAATCAGCAGACACATTTTGTTTGTCTACTCCATTTATTTGACTGAGACGGATGTGATTGGAGGTGGGGTTTAACACCGGGGGCGTGGCTTAATGCTAGGAAAGGCTTAATAATTGGAGGTGGGGTCTAATGCTGGGATGTAGAATTGAATGCATGCTCTATTGACCCATTGGATGCGGAAAATGGACCAGAAGATCCAGAAAAGAGTCCAAGAAGATCCAGAAAAGATCCACTTAGAATCTAAGGTCACATATACACCTAACAGTCGCTCTCTGCTGCGCACCAGACGACAGTTTGTTGCATTGTTTCATTCTTCAGAAGGCTCGGTTTGCGTTCACACGGCAAAACTCAAACGGACTATAAACTTTAAACACAAGTCATGTGCACGGAAATGCTGTTCAACCATTGGTCAGACATTAAGGGGGTTAAAAACGCAAATCTCTACCGGAGCCTACGCCATGGAGCATCGGCAGATTATTTTCATGCTGTTGTTAATCTGGAGAACATATCAATGGACTCTAGCAGACGGCGCATATGATTATATAATCAGACAACGTGCGATAAAAACCATCCGCGTTCTTGTGACATGTAAATACTACGCTTCCTATGTTTTGGTGCGGACTGCGTTCACACCAACCCGCTCCAGAGTTCACTAGCAAGCGGTCTGAGACCACCTCTTTAAGGTGGACCAGTGTCCAGTTGTTTAGTTCACTTCAGAGGTCTTAGACTGCGTTCACACCGACCCAAACGAACCGCACCAAGCGGTTCGATTCAACCAGACTATGCAAGGCTGGTGTGAACGCGACCTAAGGAAGATCCAGGGAAGATTCCGGGAAAAAACAGGTAAGATCCAGGGAACATCTGGGGAAGGTTCTGGAACGATTTCAGTCAAATCCAGGGAAATATCCAGAAAAGATCCATTGAAGATCCAGGAAAGATCCAGGGAAGAACCAGAGAAGAAGATCCAGGACAAATCCAGGAAAAATCCATTGAAGATCCAGGAAAGATCCAGGGAAGAACCAGAGAAGAAGATCCAGGGAAGATCCAGGAAAGATCCAGGAAAGATCCAGGGAAGAACCAGAGAAGAAGATCCAGGGAAGATCCAGGAAAGATCCAGGAAAGATCCAGGGAAGAATCAGAGAAGAAGATCCAGGACAAATCCAGGAAAAATCCTGTATAAATCCAGGAAAGATCCAGGAAAAATTCAGTATAAATCCAGTAATAATCACAGAAAGATCCAGGAAAGGTCCAGGGATTATCCAGAAAAATCCAGTATAAATTCCGGAAAGATCCATGTAAGGTTTAGGAAAGATTTTTGCTTCATGCAACACCTCTATCGCTGTATTCTCTACTCTTTATACATCCAAGAGTCTACCACACTATCAACTCTACGGAGTGTAATAATTCTGCTTCTATTCTACTGATAGACATTAATCCCAAACACCCACTCAAGCATTACTGTGAAAATATGTTGAACATTTGCTTATACAATCTTTACTCTGCAACTTCATGTCATGATTTGCCACAATGCATCGTGGCAATGCATATATATCTGCAGGTCACCCTTGAAAAAGAGATCTTTTGATCTCAAGGGGCTTTCACCTGGTTAAATAAAGGCTACAAACAATATATATGGAAGACGGTTAGGGCCAGATGGGAATTTCTAGATCTGACGAAAAATGATGTTTTTATATTGAGATTAAACTCAAAAATTATCTATATTTTCTTATACAAAAAGAAAAATTCGTAATTCTGAGAAAGAAATCGGAATTTCACCTTTTTGCAGAATAATGAGGAAATATATAAATAAAACAATTCACAAAATGTTGACTTTTTTAAATAAGTCAGGAATCTTAAGAAAGTCACTTCACAAAAAAAATTGACTTTAATCAATTAATTAATATACTGAATTTAACAAAAAAACACTTTTGTCAAATCGCCTTTTGTTCACGTGGCTCAATTCCTCTTCCAATCACAGCGAACTGAAATAGATGCTGTACCTGACATCCAGAATACTGACCGTCTCCCCATTTTCAAATCACGTCTTCAAACGTCTCTCTTCACACTGGCACATCCTCCCTGATCACATCACACATCCTCTGCTTTTCTGTTTTTTATTGATTGATTATATTGTCGTGTTCTTTGGACTTTTGTTTTGTGTACCTTGTACAGCGACCTTGAGAGCCTTGAAAAACACCTTTATAAATCTAGAAATTCTGACTTTTTCCTCAACATTTTGACTTTTTCTCTAAAATCCTGACTTTTTCTCTAAATCTCCAAAATTCTGACTTTTTCTCAAAATTCTGACTTTTTCTAAAAATGTTGACTTTTTCTCTAAAAATCCTGACTTTTTCTCAAAATTCTGAATTTTTCTCAACATTTTGACTTTTTCTCTAAAAATCCTGACTTTTTCTCAAAATTCTGACTTTTTCTCAACATTTTTCTCAAAATTCTGAATTTTTCTCAACATTTTGACTTTTTCTCTAAAAATCCTGACTTTTTCTCAAAATTCTGAATTTTTCCCAACATTTTCCTCAAAATTCGGATTTTTTCCCCAAATCTCTGACATCCAGAATGTCCACGTCTCCAAACGTCTCTCTTCACACTGGCAGATCCTCCCTGATCACACATCCTCTGCTTTTCTGTTTTATTGAGCGATTATATTGTCATGTATGGCGAGCTTGAGAGCCTTGAAAGGCACCTTTATAAATAAAATGTATTATTATTATTAATTATTATAATTAGGGCCGGGACTCGATTAAAAAAATTAATCTAATTAATTAGAGGCTTTGTAATTAATTAATCGAAATTAATCGCATTTTTTATCAAATAAATATTTGACCTGAGAACAGTGAGAAGCAATTTTTCACATGGATTTTAGTATACCATTAGGCGCATTCACACCGCAGTACTTTTCCCACAAAGGTTCATGAGAACTTAGTTCATGAGAACTCTTTGAACCTGGGGGTGGATTAGGCAAATGAAGCCGCTGACGTCACTTCTTCTTCTTCTGCTTTGGGTTTACTGGCAGGCCGCAAACCACTTCACGGCGTATACTGCCGCCCAAAGTCCCCGGCCGGAAGTCCCCGGAGTTGGGGAAGGCTTCAGTAGAAGCTGCTGGGAGTCCCAGCAGCTTCTACTGAAGCCTTCCGAGTAAATCGCCAGAACGCCGACACCTCCTCATCTCCACCGCTCCCATGTTTTATTTTGTGTTGCCATAAGTTAGTCTCTCTGCGTTTCTGCGCTGGGCTAATGCTAATGCTAATAATGCTAATGCGAGGATAATAAAATGGCGGCTTCACAAAACTTTTTGGGAGTTTTACGGGGCGTGGTTTGTAATCCGCCCAGCCAATCAGAAATATAGCTCTTTTCTCACAAGAGAGCCGTACGAAAGTCCCTGCTCTCTAGCAGCTCTCTGCTCTCTAGCAGGGACTTTCGTGGGGGTAAAAAGGTTCTCATGAACTAATTTTAGTACCGGCTCTTTTTGGTGTGAACGCGATAAAAGAGGCTAACGTCCACGCTAGCTTCCACGCTAGCTGCTATATGTTTTGCATTGAGGTGATACTTGAGGCTTGATGTGCTGCGGTGATATGCGAATTCCTTTTTGCATAATTTGCACACAACCGTGCTCTTATCGACGCTTCCATCCGTCCGTTTTTTAAAACAACATTTCCCACTGTTGTTCACTGTGGTTTGTTGTTGTCTGAAGTCATGAACGTTAGTTGGTGCTCCAGTATAATCGGTACGCCTGAAACTCATCCAGTGAGAAACGTTCCGCGGTGCAAAAATAAGTGCGATTAAAATGCGTTAATTTTTTTAACGCGTTAATTTTTGTGTAATTAATTAATCTTAATTAACGCGTTAAAGTCCCGGCCCTAATTATAATACATGATGTTATTATAATAAATGCTGCTCACCTGAAAGGCGTGTGGCGTGTCGTCCACACAGTAAACCCTCAGGATGTAGCTCATGGCCTCCAGACCCCCGAACACAGCCAGCTTCAGCCTCTTCACGGCGTTCTGAGTCAGCGGCTCGCCAACCAGAGCGTACGATCCCGGCTGATCCAGGAGCAGGTGCACACTCCCACAGTCCAGCAGGCAGTAACAGGAAGTGGACTCTTCCTCCACCGACATCACTTCCTGTAAATGAGAAGAAGAAGAAGTTGTTAGAGAAATATCCCTGGTCTCCGGCTTGAGCTTCAATCTCAGGATCCATGTATTTATGATCCTCTCATGAATGGAAGTAGTCATCACATGCAGAATAGCTAATATATCAAAATTCTGACTTTTTCTCAAAATCCAAAAAATTCTGACTTTTTTCTCAAAATCAAAAATAATTCTGACTTTTTTCTCAAAATCAAAGAATTCTGACTTTTTCTACAAATTCTGACTTTTTTCTCAAAACCAAAAAATTCTGACTTTCCCTAAACATTCTGACTTTTTATCAAAATGTTCTAATGCAGTAATGCTGGGATGTAGAGTTACATGCATGCTATATGGACCCAATGGATGCAGAAGATGGACCAGAAGAGCCAGAAAATATCCACTAAGAATCTGGGAAAGTCTCAGGGAAGATCCAGGGCGGTATATGTAATGAATGTACACACTGAAAGTAGCACACTGAGTAAATATCCATGCCCAGAGCTGCACAGATGTGAGTAGAGATGTGTGTAAATGAACTCACAGCGGTGTGTATCCTGTATTGCGTTGTGGTGCCGCTGAATAACGGTGTGTGTAACATCACACTGGTTGAAATCACGCAGCGGAAACTCACACCGGTTGTAAGCCGTCTCCAGAGATAATGAAAAGCATTTCCTACATGAGTGATGGTTTCAGTACATCGCAGAACACAAAGCAGTCTTTACGAACAAGACGGAGCGTTTTATTTATGAGGCGACGGCAGCATGTGACGGGAAGCATTTCATTATCTTCACCAGGAACAGGAAGGTTTTATGGTCTCTCAGATTCTCCTTTCCTTTCCAACTCGCTCCTTTCAAATCCTTTCCTATCCTTTCATTTCCTTTCCAACTTGTTCCTTTCCTTTCAAATCCTTTCCAGTCGTTTACTTTCCAGTCGTTTTCTTTCATTTCCTTTCCTTTTCTTTCATTTCCTTTCCAACTTGTTCCTTTCCTTTCCAGTCCTTTCCTTTCCTTTCTAACTTGTTCCTTTCCTTTCCAGTCCTTTCCTTTCCTTTCCTTTCTAACATGTTCCTTTCCTTTCCTTCCCTTTCTAACTTGTTCCTTTCCTTTCCATTCATTTTCTTTCCTTTCTAACTTGTTCCTTTCCTTTCCATTCCTTTTCTTTCCTTCCCTTTCTAACTTGTTCCTTTCCTTTCCAGTCCTTTCCTTTCCTTCCCTTTCTAACATGTTCCTTTCCTTCCCTTTCTAACTTGTTCCTTTCCTTTCCATTCATTTTCTTTCCTTTCTAACTTGTTCCTTTCCATTCCTTTTCTTTCTTTTCCTTTCGAACGTGTTCCTTTCCTTTCCAGTCCTTTCCTTTCCTTCCTAACTTGTTCCTTTCCTTTCCATTCCTTTTCTTTACTTTCCAATCATTTACTTTCCTTCATTTAATTTCCTTTCCAATCACTTATTCTCTTTTCCATTCCTTTCCTTCCTATCCTTCCTATACTTTCCTATTTTCACCTTACATCTCCGCTACTGTCCTCAACTTCACTTTCCTTTGTTTGGTTTCTTCACTTTCCTTTGTTTGGTTTCCTTTCCTTTCCGACCCTTCCCAATTTTTGTTTCTCCTCTTTCTTTATATTTCATTCCCTTTCCTTTCCCATCCTTTCCTTACCTTTCCTTAATTTCATTTCCAATCACTTCCTTTTCTTTCCATTAATTTCCTTTCAAATCCTTTCTTTCACTTTCCTTGGTTTGGTTTCCTTTCCTTTCCGGATCTTCCCGATTCCTTTTCATTCCAACTTTTTTTTATTTCCTCCTCCCCGTTCTTTCTTTGCCTTACACTCCCTTTCCTTTCCAACTCTTTCGAATTCCTTTCCTTTCCTTTACTATCCGTTCCTTTCCTTCCATTTTTACAAGGCATTAACACGATCACTTGGAAAATAAGTGGAAATACAAATAAATGTTGTTGTAAATGAAAATATATTTCCTCGTATTCAGTGCATTGTGTTGTTAGACCATAATTATCAGAACTCAAAAGTTGTGTTGGTTTTTCTGTATAAGGATAATCCAGGCAGAGGAAGGCAGCAAATTCACCTTCAAATACTTTCCTGTCATCACAAAAACATCTCACAATATTGTCAGGCAGTTTGTTTTGATACGTCCATCATGAGATGATTCACTTTAATGAGGAGCAGTGAGACCAAACAGCACGGCCTCACGAATAATCACAAATCAACTGTCAGTCAATCAAAATGCACGTTACGCCCTGCTGGTTCCCGCATCGTTAATACAATCCTGCCTGTTACTTACCGGCAGTGTCGGGAGTAACGCGTTACAAGTAACTGTAACTTTTTGCGGCAACTAGTACTCTAACGCATTACTTTTTAAATTCAGTAACTCAGTTAACGTTACTACCTGGTGCGTTACTCCGTTAGTTGTTTTGATATAGTCAACAGCCAGGCGAACAGAGATGAGAACTGTACTTAAGTACTTGAGTAAATGTACTTAGATACTTCCTGTGTCACATGCGGAGACGGGCCGTGGGCGTGTTTGTGTTGTTTACTAACAAGACTATCATGGCGGCGGCGGAGCTCAAGTCTAGTTTCTCCACCTGGAGATATTCTCACTATTTCACTTTTGTCGAGCACAAAGAAAAGAACGTTTTAGTTAAATGTAAGTTGTGTCTTGGCGGGTCAAAGATCCTATCTACTGCCCAAACCAGTCATTCAAATCTCTTAAAACATCTGCAAAAACAACATGCTGGGACGAAGCTCGTAGCTAAGACCACAGAGACTCAGCCGACGCCACTCCACCTCCACCTAAGCAACAGCGGCTGGATTTTAACCGAGGGACTGCTGGCCAGGGAAAAGTCGATAAAGCCATTGCACGGTATGTTGTAGAACACATGCAGGCTATTGCTACAGTGGAGTCACCCGCTTTCAGGGAGCTAGTTAGCATGATAGCATGTCCGGGCGGCACGCGGCATATGGGACGGAACACTTTTTCCAACTACCTGGAGAAAGAATATACAAAAATGGAAAGCCAGCTAATATCGATGCAATCCAGATTGCATATAATGCATGTCAAGTTGATCAACAGATTGTATTATTCTCCAATGCAATAACAGTACTGAAATGAAGGCTATAAGGGCATTAATGGGAGCCCTTTGTTAAAGTAACTAAAACGTTTCACAGTAACGCATTACTTTTGGGTTTAAGTAACTAGTAAAGTGACTGCGTTACTTTTGACATGAAGTAACTAGTAATGGTAACTAGTTACTGGTTTTCAGTAACTAGCACAACACTGCTTACCGGTATGAGCATTTCCACGAGTTGGAAGAACCTTAAATAACCCATACATCTTTCACCACAAACTGTCTTTCCTCCTTTCTGATTCCCACCAATAGAGTGGAGCAGTGACGAGTCCTAAAACCAGGAAGTGAGTCAGCATTTCTCCACTTCCTGTTCCCTCGTCTCAGAGCCAATGGGATCTCTCCATAGGTTGTGGAAACTATCTGAACTAAGGTCTGTGGTTGAGACACATTGAAGACACGGATCACGTTTTGTTCTAGGACATTAAATCATCAGCAGTGACCCCACTGGTGATTTCTGAAGAGTTGACGTGTCTGAGAAACGATGGTTGTTACCGAGTGGCTGAATAGGACTACAGAAGTCGTGGAGGCCGTTGTACGTCATTACGCCGAACATGTGAACACTCCTCTGAGTTAGTTTCTGTTCTGCTTGAAAGCAAGTCCCTGCCTCCTGCAGACTGTTCCAACAAACGCTTCAACTCGTTCCATCTAGAATCTGTATGTTTGAATCTGGATCTGAAGTCGGCGTGACGTTGAAGTCGTGCTGCTGGACTCGGCTGTAGCTCCTTTATAGCATCACGTTAGCATTTAGCTTCTGGCCATTAGATTTATGATTAGAACATTATAAAAGTAGACATGTGGAGATTATCCTGAACAAAACATTTATCAAACAGGTTTGTTTTCCACAGATCTTAATTCGAGCTATTTTCCCAAATCCTCTGGAGAGATCCCATTGGCTCTGAGACGAGGGAACCAGCAGCTTCCTGCAGGGTAAATACGTCATCCCTGCTCCGCACTATTGTTTACTTACAGGTATGAGTATTGACACGAGTTGGAAGAACTCGTACATCTTTCACCACGAACTGTCTTTCCTCCTTTCTGATTCCCACAATGCACCAATTTATCCTCTGTTGGCAAATACATTTGACCGGCTCCTGCATTATGATCAGTATGGCTCAGTGAATTCAACTTAAAGTGGGAAATATCACCACGCCGCCCTTCTGTGAATACTTTAGGTTCATGCAAACACACTGCAACATGGCACTGAAGAACAATACACAGTGTGAGAGTGGGCGGTGTTTTTATAATCGCCGCTGAAATAAGGCTTTTATTTTTAAATAGCATTTGTAGATATTGTGCTTCTCTGTCTAACTCGAGGTTGGATGGTAAGTCATTATTTCTGAGCAGAAAGCTCTGAGCCATTTAATCATTTAATATTAGAGTGATATCTCAAAGCAACATGAATCTTGACTTCATTGACATCCCTGCCTCATTCGCAGCGCATGCACATCTTGAGAAATTGCCCTCTTTCTTAATATAAATATATATTTTTTTCTTGGTCACACAAGAGCAGCGCTTCTGTGCGTATGAGACGCAACGTTAGGTAAACATGAGCTTGATGACAAAAGGAGAAAACATAGAAACTGTGAGACCTGCGTTAGCAAACAAGATGTCGGCAGAAAAGCTCAAAAGGGATCAATCGCTGCTTGAAGGAATATTACAAAATAGATCATGGCATTGGGTAACCTGTTGTTATGAAGGGGGTATATCAGTATGTAGAGTCTCTACTTTAAAGAGTCCTCTCCTGCTGATGTTCAAGTGTATATCAGTATGTAGTGTCTCTACTTTAAAGAGTCCTCTCCTGCTGATGTTCAGGTGTATATCAGTATGTAGTGTCTCTACTTTAAAGAGTCCTCTCCTGCTGATGTTCAGGTGTATATCAGTATGTAGTGTCTCTACTTTAAAGAGTCCTCTCCTGCTGGTGTTCAGGTGTATATCAGTATGTAGTGTCTCTACTTTAAAGAGTTCTCTCCTGCTGATGTTCAGGTGTATATCAGTATGTAGTGTCTCTACTTTAAAGAGTCCTCTCCTGCTGATGTTCAGGTGTATATCAGTATGTAGTGCCTCTACTTTAAAGAGTCCTCTCCTGCTGATGTTCAGGTGTATATAAGTATGTAGTGTCTCTACTTTAAAGAGTCCTCTCCTGCTGATGTTCAGGTGTATATCAGTATGTAGTGTCTCTACTTTAAAGAGTCCTCTCCTGCTGATGTTCAGGTGTATATCAGTATGTAGTGTCTCTACTTTAAAGAGTCCTCTGCTGCTGATGTTCAGGTGTATATCAGTATGTAGTGTCTCTACTTTTCTACTTTAAAGAGTCCTCTCCTGCTGATGTTCAGGTGTATATCAGTATGTAATGTCTCTACTTTAAAGAGTCCTCTCCTACTGATGTTCAGGTGTATATCAGTATGTAGTGTCTCTACTTTAAAGAGTCCTCTCCTGCTGATGTTCAGGTGTATATCAGTATGTAGTGTCTCTACTTTAAAGAGTCCTCTCCTGCTGATGTTCAGGTGTATATAAGTATGTAGTGTCTCTACT